AACAGATATTTTGGACTGAAGGATTGATGTATGTAATCGAGAAACTATATTTTTTAGAATCAGAATTGGGAGTCAAATCTTAAAATTTACTAAATGTTACTTTCTGATTATTTTCAGCATTATTTTTAGAATTGGTAAGAATATGCTGTACAAATTAATTTTTCCTTTTACATTTATATAAACATTGACTCCACACAACTTTGTTAATAAGTTGAAAACTTCAAATCACTTTACTTGTTACTCAAGTGACTGTTGTTGTATTGGTCAATGAGGTATTTTTGCTCATTAAATTTAAAGAATGATATCTTAACCCTTCTCTTATGATTCCTACTCCAGTCTAAACTAAACTTAACTGTATCTACTTTTAAAGATATAAAAACATTTTTGCTACAAAAAGGTCTTTGAGTACAGTCTGTTGTCACATTATTTTTTTTTCTTTCTTTCTGATTTCAAAGGCAAATATTTCTTAGTTTTGCAATAAAAGTATTTTTTTAAATAATCAAAATGTATACCTATTATATTTATCTTTTTTTTTTTTATTTGTAATAATTTACTTTTAATTTATTCACTATTTTAGGAAAAGCTGCTGACAAAATGCTTTTTGAAGTAGATGGCTTTGTGACTAAATAACTCTGGGCATTTCTATGGATTTAAAACTCACTGCATTTCCACTTTAACCAAGACAAAATCTGTCATCATTTGGTGTGATTGCAAGTGACAGCCACCTGAAATTCTATGGTATCTGCCTAGTGATACTTGTCATTTAAGTTCTATATCTGCTTAGAGCTGACATGATAATCTCTTCATACTATTTCTGATGTCAACTTAGTGGTCAGGGTGTTAGGCAGGGAGACCTTCTTTTGTCCACAATCTCTCAATGGAGGTATTCTGTACCATTTACTTATCAAACTACACATTTTTGGAGTTTGTTGTTTTTAATTTTTTTGAATTTAAGCTTGAAAAAGTTTGCAGAAAAGGCTTTGGGGACAATATTCTTCAATTCCTTTAATTTTTTATTTTAATTATTTATTTCTTTGACAATGCTTTCAGTTTAATGTACTTTATTTTTCTTAATGTAAGAGGTTTAGGTTTCTGACTCTGTAAAGTAGTCACCTCTTTTATTAGTAAAGGTTTTATTCCTCTGTCAGAAAAATAAAAGGTTTTACTTAAAGCAGAAAAGAAAAATTGCATGCTATTTTGACTCGTATTTTAATTTTTTTTTAGTTTTTCAACTGTACCCCCCCTCTTTTTTTCTGGAAGTTATAAAGATTATTTGTACTTTCTCTAAATCTTGTTTTACAAGACAATGTTTTTATAACCTGAAATCTTGGAGCACAACAACTGGTTTCCATAACAATATCCTGCACTACTTTTAAATATACTCTTAGGGGCATGCAGGATCTGAGTTTCTTGGCTGTCCATTTTTATTTAATGTTGTTCATTTTAAAGGATATTGTTTATTCAGTTGAAGAAGTCGAGATGAAAAAAGTAATATAGCTCCAAATAATTGTATATTTATCTTATACGGTTTATGTAAATTGCAAAAGAAAAATAACTTTTGATAGACTTTCACGAAATTAAAATTATTTTTCTTATTTTAAACAATTTGAGTCTTGGCTATGAATCAAACTGTTGCAAAATTTGTGGCCTCAAATGATTGTATGGCCAAACTAAATAGTAGACACAAAGAATACAATATATCTCCACTCAAAACTTAATAAAACTTCTATAACCTGGAAACAATGTATTTTATAAGAGTCAATAACTAAATACAAAGCATAAACTTGTTTATTACTCTTAGTCAGTTATCAGTTCTTAAGAGTTTAAATAAAAAGAAACTAACTATACTGATAATAATAAATTAAACATCTTAGTTTTAACTATTTTGGTGACATTGTAAATTCTGTAGTTGTCAAGTTGCTGACTTGTCTACAAGATAAATGATTTTACTGATTCCATATAGAAAACAAACTTTATTCTAGAGATAGTATTGATAAAGAGAATTGAATTATTTTTCTATATAGATTTATGATCTTATGAAATAATCAAAGATTATTGATTATAATCAATGAATTATGAAAAGGTCAAACAAATACAATTTATCAGTTGTCAGTTTCTCTTTGCATAAAAGTAAAAAAAAAATGATTTTACTTTTGGTCATTGTTTTATAAAACTGGTTAGGTATTTACAAAGAGTAAAGGTGGATTTATCAAGACAGTATATTTATTGCTATAAATGAATCTGTTTCACTTTGCATCGGTGAAAAATCTATATTACAGGCACTCTTATTAAGAATTGATGCCACAAAATTATTTGTAGAAATTAAAGAACAAATGAAGGTAGTGTGGAGTGTTGGCTTGTAATTTCAAAGAAAAAGTTTCAAGAGACAGAATATTTAAGATTTGTAAACTTCTAAATATGGCAGTTTTCACCAAATTTGATGCAACTCTCTCTTTTCTGTTAATTTTAAAGTGGCTAATATTTTCCTTCAAAATCTGTTTTATTTTTTATACTTTGAAAGCCAAAGTGACAAAGGATTGTTATTGATGACCCAAGAGAAAGAATCTAGTGAATAAAGTTCCCAAGAATCTTTGGTTACTGATTTGGAATTTTCATCACTTTGATATGAAATGACTAACATTTCTCTACATTCTAATGTTACTAAAGCTTGTCAAGAATCAGACCAGCAAGAGTATAAAAAGGGTAACCTGATGCCACTTCCTTCATTGGCTGTAATTCACTCTTACTGTTCCATTCAGACATTGTCAAACAAATAGGAAGTAATTTGGATTATTTTAGTCAAAGCTTCAAATTATTTCAGCATTTTGTCTTTAACATTTCAGTATTTGCAAAAATGAGTTTTAAATATTTTAACTGCTCTGAAATAGTTTTTTTTCTTACTAATGCCTTAATATTATTGATCTTTACAATTTGAAATGTTAAAGTATTTATTTTACAAATTTCAAATCTACCATTCTGCCTCTTGTTTTATCTAAAATTTACATTATTTCCTTGGCAAAAAAATATAAGCATTTTTCGTAGTGTGGAAGTTTAGAAATAAAAAAAATGAAAAAATATACCAATCACAAGTTTAACAGTAATTTCCAATTTCCTTATTTTCCACATTTTCAATTTTACTTTCTAGAAGAATTTTTTAAATTATTCAAATGTATTGTCACATTAACAAGATTTCACTTTTGAAAGAAAAGCACTTAATGTCTTCTACATAAAGAATTTAAAAAAATCCAAACAATTATATAGATCTTTCATTTACGTATATAAAAAAAATATTGTGTGTGTATGTAACTCTTCACAGAGCACACAGATACTACACTTTGATTCTAGGTAGAAGTACCAATCCATACATAGTGATTTACTAAGTGTAGCTCAGATGCAGCACAAAGCCATAAGATTGAACTTACTACTGAGTTGGGATTGATCTTGCAAGACAAACTTGCTAACCATTACACCACAGTGCCCAACCTATCTATACAGGATTCTAATTTTTTGACAAGTGTGTATGTATATATATATATATATATATATATATATATATATATATATATATATATACACACACACACATTTTGATTCCGATGTACAACAGTTTATTTATTTGAAAATTGAAGATACAATGAAAATCAAATGCATACTTTGAATTTAACAAAACTTGAGTGACTGAATTCTTTATACACACATACATACATACAGAGAGATGACCTCATTGTCTACTCACTTTTATACTTATATACACTCTCTCTGATATTGAGCACTTTCATCCATAAATATATATTTTAAGGTGTGCTATATTTATGAGTAAAAGTGCTCAATATCAGAGATAGTGTATATAAATATAAAAGTGGACACTGAGGTACTGAGCTAAACTCAGACATTTCTATATATGAAACTCAGTAGTATAAAAAAAAGTTAAAAATAGATCTTCAGAAGCCTTATTGTTATGTTGTTGTTATATAATTCATCTTTTCTTTTCTCATTCATGTCCTGATTAATTTTACTGCCTTTATTTGCTGTACATTTCTTTTCGCCTTGGATGGCATTTTAATTTCTTTCTTAAGCATTCATTCCCTCATAATAAAAATATTTTTTTAAATGCCTTTTCAACTAATACCACAATATTTTTTTTTTTTTTTTTTTTTTTGCTCCAATTATTTTTTAGATTTGCCTGCCATTTATATTTGCTGTTCCCTTGCCCCTAACCCTCATTCCTGTCCCAATATTGAAACTAATTCACTTTGAAGCCATGTCTGGCACAGAACCATATTGAACACCTTGTGAAACTTTCCCCTCCCCTTCTTCAATGTCTAGTGCTTCAGACAGTCACCAGACACGATTGGTTTTGTTGAGATAACTCTTATAACTTCACAAATATGAATTGGATGCTGTATATGACAAAAGGTTGGAGATAGAAAAATGTTATCAAATATCTTATGTTGTAAATATATTTCAAAACAACATTAAACTTGTTTCTCTTTTTATTTATTTTTATTCAATTTGGTCATTATTGGTGCTCTTTAGTCTTTAATTATAACTCGAGACTAACCAATGTCATCAAAAAAAGAGTAATTTTGAAATTACATCATTTATTATATTTTATTTATCTATGCAATTAACGTTGTTACATGCAAAAGAATTATATATTTTAGATTATTAGAAATACAAAATCTCCAAAGAAAGCTAACAAAAATAAAAGGCAACCTGATCTCCCCTACTTACTAATATTCATGTATTGGTGTTGATTAATGCCTCCTGTTAAATATCAGAATATTTCATTACTAACATTAAAAAAAATTATTTTGAATTAAAAACCCAGTGTTATTTTTTCTTTTTTTTTTTCTTTTTTTTTTTAATCTTGTTTTGCATTTTAAATTTTATTTTTCAAACTGAATCTTTTTGTTTTTTTTTTTTTTTTTTTTTCTGTTTGAAATGTTTTTAATTTTATTTGGTCTTACAAACTGAGTTCTGGGAGGTTCTTTTCTCAGTGCGCCCCACATCAATACATCATTGGCCAGAATACAACCTCAACAATCGCAAGTGAAACTATCAACTCAGAAGTAAGTAAAAGCCACATTTGATTAGTGTCACATGATTCCCTTCTGAAACACCTCCAAACATTTTTTCTCTCTTTAGAAATTTTTATACAAAAGCTGTGTGCACTTGCTTGCTTGTTACAAAAATTGCATCTCAACCAAAGACTTAATTTCTGTAATTTCACTTTTGTCTATAAATGCTGACAAATGGAGAAATCCTCTTATTTGTTGTTCAGATAAAATATCTGACAATATCCTACTTTTGTCTGTTATAATTTGAACCATCAACCCCACCCCTTCATTAAATGTGTAATCTTTCTGGAATAATAGATCACAAAATTTGGAATTGAAACAAAATGAAAAACAAAAACAAGCATATTTTGTAGTGGTTCGTCATTCGTTAAATTTTTTTTTTTTTTTAAAACAATCATCAACTGGTTATATAATGGTTAGTAAGTTACATCCTCACTGGGTACTCTGTACTTTTGGTCTTGTGCCACCACATCTAAATTATATTTAGTAAATCATTTTAACCTTTAAAATATGGAACAATGTTTATAACTATAAGGCACTCTCCACCACCAACCAAAAATGTATTTAAATATTATTTTTCAATATGTTGCTATTATGAATAGGTGATAGATCCCCCCCACCTAAAAGCCAATCAGATGGGAGGGTTGCAACGAATTTGGAATCAATTTCTAAATGGTCTTTGTAAAACATGATGGCCAGCAAACTTTATTCAAATAATTGCACCAAATCTAAATTTGTTGAAAATTTCTCTTAACTAAACAATTCTCTTTCATTTCAAATTTTTGCATTAGTTAAAAAAACATCTTTTCTGAGAAAACAAAGCGAAATAGTCTTACCAATGCACTATACACAGCTTTTATAGTTGAGTTTTGTATTCTAGTTGATGATTCTCACTTAGCCATGCCCCTCCCCCACTTGTCTCGCCCACTTCTCTCTCTCTCTCTCTCTCTCTCTCTCTCTCTGCACTAACATTTGACATTTGTCTGCTAACATTGGGTTCACATTTAAGACTCTTTACTCACAAATCACTTGGTGTTTCTCAGTCACACATAACTTTGTTCCACTTCATTTACTTTAGCCAATGTATACAAGGGGGTGCTGAAAGATTTTTGGTCCAACCCACTTTTAAAAGAATTAAAAAAATCTGATTATTGGTCAGAATTTTTTTTTTGTCTTTTTTGGTTGGAACAATAACATTTTAGCATCTCCCTAAAAGTGTAAAAATTCACCTTACTCTCTGCCGGAAGCTGATAGCTTAGGGGAGAAATCTCTGATGCCAAATCAGTTGGGTTTTGATCCTGGCTTGAGGCAATCGGATGTCTAGCCACACTGATGAGCTGTGATACAGCAAAACAGTCTGTCTGTGGGTGACAAAAAACACACAAACACATATATATAACCAGCTATTGCAGGATTTTTTTCCTCTCTACATTATATAGTATTTGAAATAATGATTGCACAATTATTGATTTTTTTTTTTTTTTTTTTTTTTTTTTTTTCCTCTATGTATATAGAAATCGGATGCTGCTAAAAACTGCTTTGGCTGACTGTTAAGCAATGGTAGAATATTTGGCAGACCTTTGGATTGTTGAATGATAGTGTGTCTTCCTTCATCTAAGAGTGGCTTTTGAATTTTTATCACTGCTAACTTGTGCAGTGCTTTGTTTTTCCTGGCAAGGGACCAGCTATCTCTAAACCTGCATGCCAATGCTTGAACACTTAGTTCTTTCAGATACTATTAAAAAATGTGTCTATTCTGCATATGACACTTTGTTTTCACCTATTTTCATTAAAATTTCATTTGAAATCAATACTAAAAAGTAAATGATTACTAGTTTATTTAATGTCCATATTTTTAACATGTAAAATCATCAATTCTGTAAAATATTTTATTTTAAATTAAAATTATATCCGTAAAAGGATATGTAAAGTGTTATACTTTCTTTAATTGTTAAAAAAATTGTGTTTTTTTTTCTAGTTTCATTATATTTACTTTATATATAAAAAGCATTTTACTACCATGAAATGTCTTCATAAATCTTTTAAAAATTTAAGCCAACTGAATATTTACCTATATTTGCATTCTGATGTGAATCTGTCCATGACCTGAAAAAAAGTGATCATAATTTTGCATTGTACCAACTTTCTCAGCTTCTCACTCTCAAATATTTTCTTACCAATGTTGCTTTGTAAAAATAAATGAGTATTAATTAAAAAGGATATTGAAAATGTAAAAGCACTAAAATGAACTTTTGTAAATTTATTTTACAACAAAGATTAATTTGACTTGGATAAATTGGTAAAAACTGAAGTCTCTTTTTTTTTTTTTTTTTTTTTTTTTTTTTTCCTCAAAAAACTTTCAGAAATGATTCTCCTTATCAATGTTTAATTATTTCTAAAATTTGATATTTTCTTTAATCAGTTTTAATTTTTGCTTTTGAATTTTTTTTTTAAGCATCAAATATTGCAGTAAATTTCATTTGCATTTAGAAAATCATTTTTCTTTTAATATTATTCAGAATTTTTCATGTCGAAGTGAAAATTTAAATTTAATGAAGTTAGTTATTAATACTTGACAGCCTTTTCAATAATTTACTCCAACTGTCTAACTCCTTTTATTTTTATTAGGATCTGAAAGTCAAGTTTATCTCTCTCAAATACAAGTCCTGATCTAAAACTTTTTTCTTTGTACTGATAAAAAAATTTCAACCCCAATTTATCAAGTATAAAAGTAGTTTTTTCTTTGCTTTTCATAAAAGGGATTTTTTAAAAAGATTAATGTTCTTCTCTTGGACTTACCTATAAAAATTTTCTTTTTTTTATGCCCTCTTGGTTAATAGTTTTCAAAACAGATCAGATTATAATTATGAATTAAAAAAAAAAAAAAGAACTAATCACCCCAAGCACAAAAAAATCTTTGGCAAGTATTCCATTAATTTTAGTGTATCCTGCAAGTTTACAATGTATCTCCAATAGCTATGAAGTAATCTTAAAGCCTATATTTAGTGAAAAATGGCAGATATACAGATTTCTTAAACAAAATATATTCACAATTTCAATAAGGTTGTATTTGTTAAATTGTATGTGGTCCATGTATAAAAGTTTTGATTGATTCAGTGTCATTCATGCAGCCCAGTCTTGTCACAAATTCTCAGTCAATTATGTTCTTGACCCCTACCCCCATTTCGAGGCAATGAAATAGAAAAACCATGTTTTTACAAATGGTAATTAGCACTTGAAGAAAATAAATTTTCAATGAAGCAAAACCTAAAATATTTTCAATGCTAATATTTTTGATGAAAAATAAATCTTAGGTCAGAAAACCTTTGGCTTTTGGCTAATCCTTGTCAGTCTTTAAACCTTTCAGCAGTTTTCATTGTTGCAGACTTTTTTCTTCTCTCATTTTGTTTGACAAGCTTTTGAAAATGTCATTTGTGCAGATTTTGAAAACAAACTTTAAATGCATTCAATTCTTTTTATTTTTTTGTGCAAATCTTGTTTATTTTTCCCTACCATATATAGCAAAATTTTCTAAGATTTTGGTAAACAGATAAATGATTGTAACTTAGGGTTTCTAGTAAGTAACTGAATAAACTGTATTTACAGACAACAACAAAAATCATTCTTATTGCTTTTATAAATAAGACATGGCTATTTACTCAATCATTTTAATTCTTTCTCTATTTTATAAGATCTTCATTTTGCTTGAGTTTTGAGGACCAAATTTAAAAAAAAAAAAGAAGAAAAAAAAAAAGGCAAATTTAATGTCCAAAGTCTAGTTCTAAAAGTCCTTATAAAGAATGGAGAAATGAATCCTAAGTTGGCTCTAGCCAGAAAAGTGTTAATACTTTTCCTTTTTATACAAATTTTTTTGAAACACGTTTCCTTTTCTCATATTAACTTCATAATTCAAATGCAGACACATACTTATGAACATCAACTGCCAATGAATCAACATTTAAAGTAACAAGAAATGGGTGCTATTTTCATTAGCACCATTTGGATTGCTTTTAGAAATTTTTCTTCCTCTAGACACCAGCATTCTTGTGGGCATTTGAAAACAATTGCATTGAATTTTGCTTCTGATGTTCCATGCTTTTTGTGAAATTGGATCATTCACTTAATTTCTTTTAATGTTATCAAATTCTTTTATAAAAGAAAATTTCTTTGGACTCACATCTTCACTTAAGTCTTTTAAAAAATAATGTTCTTATCACTAAATAAATAAAGACTAACCAGGGTGCGTACAACTTGAGTAGAAAGCTGAAAAATTAACATTTTTTATTTTTTGGTGTAAAATCTTATCCTCCAAATATGGCATATCTGTCTTGTGCTTTTGTTTCAAGAATTTTCCTTAAAATATTTCACAGTTAAGTATAATTTCCTGCAGTGGAATTACTAACCTCCTTCTTATTTTCATCTTTGCAAATTGATTTGAAGGTGCTTAGTTTCTCCAAAGAAAATCAAATATAAACATCTCAACATTTTTCCACAACTCTCTTCAAATATTGGCAATTTGAAACACACACCACATTTTTATATATATATATATATATATATATGAGAGAGAGAATTGCTTTATTTTTAATGACATTTTCTATTACTTCATCTACTGTAATAAAGTTCAAAGTAATTATATATATATATATATATATATATATATATGGGTTTAATGCTTTTGCGATCATCAGACAGTTTGTCTGATGATCACAAAAGCGTGAAACCAAGGGTCACAAACTCACATCAATCCAACCAAATATGTTAGCTCTAGCTCTGATATTGAGCACTTTCTAATAAGTACCGTGCATATAAATAATAAATAATATATATATATATATATATATATATATATATATATAAAATGTATCCGTAAAAGAATGATATGAATAGTAACAAAACAAAAAATTATCTTAGCCAATGCTTTTAGTTCTCTAATAAACTTTATCAAGACAAATGTAAGGATTTTATTTTGCAACAAGTATTTATAAACA